TAAAGACACTCCCTGGTCCYTCTCTCTCCTATATCTCCTCACTCAGCTTGGGCTCCAACATCTGCTCTAGGCTGCCAAGCCCCTTCCCCATCACTGATGCCCACCTTGCTCGCTGTAGTCTATGGTTGGTACGCAGGGCTCTGTGCTGCTAGGTGAGCACTCTACTCCAGTGGCTTTAGGACTGAATCATTCAGGAAGAAAAGGGACGTGGAGATATGAAGGGGGAAAGTGGACACTGTTTTGCGTGTGTGTTTTGGTACTGGGGATTGAACACAGGGTCACTTTATCCCTGAGCTACATCCCTGCCTTTTTTATGTTTTATTTTTAGACAAGGTCTCGCTAAGTTACTGAGACTTATAAGTTGCCTTGAACTTGCAATTCTTCTTCCTAGCCTTCTAAGTGGCTGGGATTACAGGCATGTGTCAGAATGCCCAGCATGCACATATTTTTTTTTTTTTTAAGAGAGAGAGAGAGAGAGAGAGAGAGAGAGAATTTTAATATTTACTTTTTAGTTTTCGGCGGACACAACATCTTTGTTTGCATGTGGTGCTGAGGATCGAACCCGGGCTGCACACATACCAGGCGAGCGCACTACTGCTTGAGCCACATCCCCAGCCCTACATATTTTTAATCATGTGAAAACTAACAAGGCAAAAGAGAAGGCAAGAAATAAAATTTCGCACTGGGAGTGTAGCTCAGCAGTAGAGTGCCCATCTAGCAGGAACAGAGTCTTCCGAACAAACCATAGAACTACAGTGAGTAAATACATAAATAAATGAAATTGCACATGTAATCCAATAGCAAAGATGTAAAAAGCTCAGAAGAGCCCGGCACAATGGCACATGCCTGTGATCCCAGGGGTCCGGGAGGCTGAGGCAGGAGGATCTCAAGTTCAAAGCCAGCCTCAGCAATGGCAAAATGCTGAGCAACTCAGTGAGAATTTGTCTCTAAAAAAAATACAAAATAGAGCTGGGGATGTGGCTCAGTGGTCGAGTGCCCCTGAGTTCAATCCCCAGTACCCTTCCCCTCCCCCCTAAAAAAAGAAACACTGGTGCTCTCTCAGGCAGAAGAGCTAGGAAAGAGAGAAAGAGCAAGTTTACATCGCTGGTCTGCCACAACTCACCCTCAGACCCCTTGCCCCTCACAGTTACTCTGTGCCCCGATACCATCATCCCTGAAACACCCCTGGGAAGAGCACTTACTCAGAGGAGGCGTCGGGGGGACTTAATGAGTTAGCACATGAGAAACACTTCAAATGGAGCCTAGCACACAGCACGTGTTCTAGAAATGTCAGCTGTTACCAGATGGATGAGGAAAGAGGAGCTCAGTGAGGTCATCCAAGTTACCTACAAGGTCACACAGCAGCATTGGCACAGTCTGAGCCCACCTGTGCCCAACTCCAAAGCTCATGCATTTTCCCAAGACCCCACTGGAGTGCTAAGAGCKGGGGGAGATGAAGCAGGACACCCAGGGCTAGTGCCAGGCTGATGGAGACGAGTTCCCCAGCACGGGGCTGTCTCAGAGGAGCAGCAACTCCAGACGGTGGCACTTGCTGAGAAAAGCTCCTAGCATAGGTAGGGTTGGGGACAGACCTTGGATGCTGAGAGAGACTTGAGTAGGATGTGATGGTGGAGCCAGCAAAGGGAACAGCCTGAGCAATGGCAGGGGACTGGGGCGCCCACATGCCAGTCATCACAGGGTGAGGGTCAGTCACCCACAGGCCTGGCCCCAGAGCAGTGCTCCTGAGCCTCGGCACTCTCAGCATTCTGGTCAGATAGTCCACTGTTGGGGCAGTGGGGCAGTCCTGTGCACTGGAGGATGCAGCAGCACGCTTGGCTCATCCCCTCTAATGCCAGGTAGCAAACCCTCCTCGCATATGACAGCCAGTCACGTCTACACTCCTGGGTGGAAAATCTCTCCTGGGCCCAAATCTCCCCCGGTTGAGAACCATTGCCCTAGACAAATGGAATTCTCTGGAAGCCCCAACACCAGCCTTTGCTCACAGGAGCCCAGCTTCACGTTCTTTCCCTCACTGTTGGATGGCCCCAGGAGCAGACACAGCTACACCCCAGTCAACCACAGGAAGAAGAAGGCAGGGACACCAAGACCTCCTGATCCCACAGTGCCTGCGGCCGAGGGCTTTGACGAGGCCTCCTGGGTGCACGAGTGTTCAGTCCACCACGGGTCAGACTTCCTGGTTCAGTGGTGCAATCCCAGGTGAAGAAGTTTGTTACTACAGCAGCAGATCCAGCAAGAATGACGGCATTTCCCAGGGTTGGGCCACAGAGAAGAGACAGGAGCTAAGAGGATGACAAGCACTGGCCAGCAGGTGACTCTGAGAACAGTCACTCCTTTCTGGGCTACAGTTTCACCATCAGTAAACCAAAGGCTTGTAGTACCACCAAGATTCCAGGGGAGGGCTTCTCTTTGATCCCTAGAAAGGGCAATGAAGGGAGAGTTTTCAGCTTATTGGGAAAGAGTTCTATGATCAACTAGTAATGTCTGCCACGAGTGCAGGTGTGGAAGCTGTGGTGGTATCAACACTGTATAGAGTATTTGCTGACTCTTCTAAAGGACCCTAGAAGTCTCTGGGGTCTGTGTGAGGGTCAGGAGCTGGGATAGGAGAAGCCAAGTTCCAACAGGGAAAGTTCCACACAAAGGTTTTTTGGGTTTTTTTTTAAAGAGCTGTTTGTTCTGTGAAAGGACAGGGAGCAAATGTTCCCTGTATATGACAGAGASCCACCGCTGTCTCAGGGAGCAGTCATCATTTATTCATCCAACAAGAAAATTAAGGGCGGGTGAGAGGAACATCCCCAAATAAACATCCACCTCTTTTTTCCTTCCCAGCACACATCCTAAAGCCAATAAGAGAACTTGCAATGCTCTGGAAGTAGAAAGGAAGCAGGAGAGGGAAGGAAGGGTGAAGCCTGGCATGGGGAAGCACTGGAATTCCGGGCCTGAGCTGTGCCATTTACTAGTCGTGTGATCCGGGAAAGGTTACTCAACCTCTATGAGCCTCGGTTTCCTCTTCTGTGCCAGAGCCAAGTAACCCATTTCACCCTTGGTTCAGGCAGCCAGCATGCCGTGAGTCCTCCATGAGGGCCAAGGGGGGAAAGGGCAGACTGCAGTGTTCATGGGGTCTTTTTGTGCAGGGTCTCAAGAGCTGGGCTTAGGACTTGGTACTTMACTTGGCAGGCAATGGGGAACCATAGACAGCTCTTGAATCATGGAATAAACTGGAACAAATCCCATGGATGATTACCCCCGGCCCAGGTCTGTCTCACTAGACTAGGGACTCGGCTTACGTGATGCAGAATCAGAGGTTGGTTTGAAGAGGACACAGTCTAGACCAGAGTTGGGAAGTGGGAGGAGGCTGTGGGAGATGAGATGGAGTCAACTCCATGAGCCGGAGTTGGCAGAAGACAAAGGGAGAGGGCAGAGAGCCAAAGAGGAGATAGAGGGAGAAGGATTACTGGGGTTTTCCCCCTTGAGGCTCCAGGGACTGTAGGGAGGAGAGACATGGAATAAATGGAGCTTGCCTGAGATGGTGAGCTGGATCCCTTCCATGTTTTTCAAAAGAGAAAAAGAAATTCCCTTTAGACTGCTCTTCTCCTCTTTGGATTGCATTTCAAGCTACATTGCTACACTATCAGACTAAGCCAGGGGGCCACTGCTTCTTAGGGCTTTGGGGGCCCTGGGCTGTTTCCTCTGAGAAGTGGAAATGCCCCAGAGAGACCCATGCTCTGCTGAGCACACTGGCTCTTGAAGACTAGATGTTGATGGACCTTTATTTTTTTCACTGATTTACATGCAGTGTGAGTGCTCCACCACTGAGCTCCAGCCCCAGCCCCAGGACCGTGCTCTTGTCCCTCCTACCTACCACTGTCACACTCCTCTCTTCCTGAAGCACCGCTTCATCTAACTCATTCTCCCTGCCTCAGGCTCGCTCCAGCGCTGCCGGGCAGATCACATGGCAAGCCAGAGAGCTGGGGAGCAGCCTGGGGCAGCCCTCCACCAGAGAGGAAGGGAGGCTGCAGATGAGAAAGGGAGGCTGCAGCGTTCTCCCCCTTCAGGTAGGAAACTGAGTTGTGTTCTACCCCATCACCCAGAGGTTCCCACAGGACTGGATGCCCCTAGGGATGTCTGTGAACCCCAGATGGCCATGATACAACCTACACATGAACTTGCCCTGGACTGGCTTCCTCCCCTCTGTCTCACCATCCACCTGACCTCCTGCTTCTTAGAATCACCTTCCAATGTTCCTGTGCTCAAACCCAAGTCTTTAGAGCTATTTAGAACCCCAGGCAGTCAGGTTCCAGACATCCTGTTCCACTGTCAGGCCATGATCTGATCTGAGGAGAAAATGTGCTTATTCCCTTCAGAACTGAGTTCACATGATTCATTCGTACGTACTGCCCCCCGCCCTCCAGCCCCAGGACAGATGTCATCCATTCCTGATCCAGGACACAGCCTCTGGTTCTTCTCCAGACCAATGGGTCAGGGTTGGCTCAGCCTCTTTGTGGACACTGCAAACAGGACAATGACAAACCAAAGCAGAGACAGGAGGGCTCATTCACAGGACCACGGGGAGGGGTGCTTCGAGCCCCTGGTGCCTGGTGGTCTCTAGTCTGCATTCTGGTTTTCCTCCTCCCAAGTCTCACCATGGCCACAGTACCGTCTCCCAGGGAAATTCTTGCCTCTTGCATTTGAACCCAGGAGCACARGAGGGTACCTTATGGCCCCGGTACCCTCCTCCTTCAGGCCCACTTGTCCATGGGCTGGGGATTGTTCCTAGCTTTGTAACAAAGGCCTGGGGCTCCAGCCCGGTGAGTTGTGCAACCGAGCGGGAGAGCCGGCTCAGCCGCAGCTGGAGGAGAGGAAATATCCCATGGCTGACTGTGCCAAGGTGGAGACTGAGCCAGCCCTCGGGCCTGCGGGCTGGGCGGTGGCCCTCGGAGATAAGCCAATCCCTCAGCTGCAGGTGAGGATCCCTGAGAAGCATTGTTCAGGGACAGAGGTAAGTCACTTCTCTGAGCCAGAGGAGGGGTGGCAGGTACCCTGCACCCAGCCCAGGAAGCAGGTGGTCTCCAGGAGAGTCGGGAGCCCCACTCCTCCGTGTGCTCCGTCTCCCCACATCTGGAAGAGCTCCAGTGTCTGCCTCTCCCTCCACGACTGAGGGACGGGGAGCATGAGTCGGTCAAGGCATGTGGGCAAGATCCGGAAACGTCTAGAAGATGTCAAGAGCCAGTGGGTCCGACCAGCCAGGGCTGACTTCAGTGACAACGAGAGTGTGCGGCTGGCCACAGATGCCCTCTTGGATGGGGGTCCTGAGGCCTATTGGCGAGCGCTCAGTCAGGAAGGTGAAGTGGACTTCCTGTCCTCTGTGGAAACCCAGTACATCCAGGCCCAGGCCAAGGAGCCCCCCTGTGCCCCGGATCTTGCAGGAGGGGCTGAAGCAGGCCCCAAGGGACTCGACTCCTGTTCCCTGCCATCAGGAACCTACTTCCCTATGGCCTCAGAGGGCAGCGAGCCAGACCTGCTGCATACCTGGGCCTCAGCTGAGAAGCCCTACCTGAAGGAAAAGTCCAGTGCCACTGTGTACTTCCAGATGGACAAGCACAACAACATCAGAGACCTCGTACGCCGCTGCATCACCCGGACCAACCAGGTAGTGATGGGGGTCCTGTGTCCTCTTGGCTATGGCACATAGAGTAGGGAGAGGGGATGTGTCTTGCTCTCGGGGACAGAATCCAGGTAATTGGGGTTTAGGATGGAGTTGGGGACATTGTGCTCTGCCTTGCTGTGGATCATTGACCTCCCAATGTCACCTGTCACAGCCTGGGCACAAGCCTCCAAGAACCATCATTGGGACTCTTGCAGTCACTTCCTCCCTGGCCCTGCTCTTCCATCTGGTTCCCAAACCACCCAGTCTCTGTGCTGCAGCAGAGTCTTTCCCTGTACTGCGAGTCTAACTTGGCCCCTTCCCTGTTTGGTGCCATCTGTACCCCTGTCTGCAACAATGGGAGGAGCAAAGTCCTTCTCAGGACTCACAGCCCCCGTCACCTCCTCCCACTCAACCTCGTGGGCCCTGTGGATTCTTCACCCACCAAGCTCTGCCTTCAGGTCCTTGCATGCCGCCCTCTGCCTGGGCACCCCTCGCCGTCCCTGACGCTACTCCTTCTTGGGGAAGACTGTTCTGAATTCCCCAGGCTGGGTTAGGAGCCCACTCTAATGAGGGAGACCTCTCCATTGAGGCACACCCTTGCCCCTGGTCCTTTCAGACCCTGCTTAGACCTGCCTGCCCACAGGTGCTGCTATGGCACCTGAACCAAGCCAGCGGCGAGGCAGAAGATGGGGCCCACAGCAGGGAAAGTTTCTCCCTCCCTGGATATTGATATTTTAATCAATATAGACTTTAGAAGAGGAAGTCCTTAAGACAGAGCATGCATCGGCCCAGTCAGGCCAGGCCAGGAGTTCTCCAGAGCCCTGTACTTCCGTCAGCAGGGGACTAAGTGGAAGGACTTGCCATTTGGGGCCTCACCCTACCAGGTGCACTATTTAGCATAGCACTATGGATCTCCTCTCCTCCCTCCAGAAGCTGCAGAGGGGCAGAAGTAAGAACGGACTTTAAGGAAGGAACTCTGACATCTGTAAAGATTGACAGATTCATCATCTGTAGAGATTGATTTTTGCCAAGTGTGTTGATGCATTTGGAATCCTAGCTACTTGGGAGGCTGAAGCAAGAGGATTGCAAGTTTGAGGCTGGCCTGGGCAATATAGGGAGATCCTGTCTGAAAACCCAAAATGAAAAGGGTCGGGGATGTGGCTCAATGGCAGAGCCCTTGGGGTTCAATCCCCATTGCTAAAAAAAAAAAAAAAGTCTTATTTTTCTTTTTGTAACTAAAACTATTTATTTTGTTATAGTAAAAAATAAAAAAAAACTCTTAAAAATACATGCTGATATTTTAGCTTATTTTTTGCTAGAGTCCCAGTTTCATGACTGAATCCCCTCCCAGAGTCAATACTGCGTGGAATCTTGAGGTTCTAGAGAAGGCCACCAAGGCGGGGAGGCTACATGCAGACAGGGAGGAGAGCGGAGATTCTGGAAACTCAAACGGAAGGTAGCAACGGGCAGAGTGGCTCCGTGTGACTGGGCTGCTCTGGAGCGTGTTTCGTGTTTCTGTGACAGAGAGGCATCAGATTGACAGACAGGTCTGGGCAGGCAGCCAGGAGCCTGGGCTGCCTGGGGCCACCGGCGCCACCTCTTTCAAGTCCCCTGAACTCCTGGCACTCAGCCTGCCTGCTAGACAGAGGTCCCTTCTGGCTCTCAAGGCCTGTTCCCAAATGTGTCTTTCAAGCCCAGGGCTCACACACTTGGGAACAGGCCTCGGGAGCCAGATGTCCAGTGCCCTTCTGGGGGTGAGACCAGAGTCGCAGGGAGACCCTCCATCACAGCAGCAGCTGCAGAGCAAGAGTCCTGGAAAGAGGCCAGTCAGGGCCTGAGAGACACAGCCCCTGCCAGAGCCCCTCGCCTCCTACTGCCCAGCTGGCAAGGCACCCCCTCCCCCTCTGTGGCCCTGGGCTCTGTTCATGTCCCTTTGAACAACTCAGCCTGTTAGGAATTTAGGACAACACTAAAACCTGCAGATTTCACCTAAAAGTAAGAATTTCTAGCTCCCCCTGGCAGATAGGGTGCTGAGCTGTGGTCACCTCTTGGGGCCTCTTTGCCACATAGTCCCCACTACTCCCTGTTGTCTTGGGCCCCTAAGGCCTTGAAGCTGTTTGTGATATCGCTGCCCCCCCACACACACACACGTACACACACACACACACATAGACTCATACACACTCACACACACTCACACTCACACATGCGAGGGCTTGGGGATGGCCTGTTCCCAGAGCTGTGGCAGCAGGTTGGGTTGGTGCCCGGTCCCAGGCTGTCTGCAGAAGTAGAAGGAGGAGAGAGGGAGGAGAGGTGGGCTGAACTCTCCCCTCCCCTGTGGCCTCATCCCCCTGGAGAGGAGGAGAGAGGGGACAAGCTGAGGAGCCAGCCCTTCTGGAGCAGTTCCCACTCCCCAAGCAGCAGGAGCCACCTTCCTCCACAAATCGCAGCGTGGCAGAGTGGGACAGGAGAGGTCACTTGTCCTTGGGGAGCTTCTGCCGTCTGCTTGCCCTTTGTCGGGAGAGAATCGGACGACATTTCGGGAAGCTGCCCCAGGCCTGGGAGGCCCTCAGTGCCTGGAAGTGGGTAGAAGGTGACTCAGGCAGGCTTCCCAAAAGGTGGCCTCAGAGCTGAGTGGCTAAAGCTGAGTAAGAGTTTGCCAGGCAGAGAAGGAGAGGAAAGGAAGTCCAGTCCTAGGGAGGGTCCAATGCAAACATCCTGGCGTCTGAAAAGTCTCACGTGTCCTGAATGTGGGCAGACACCACTGGACCCTGGGAGGACCCTAGCTTGGGGATGTGGGACCTGGAGGAGGGGTGAGCAGTGGGGACAAGGAAGGTGGGGCAGCAGTGCTGTGCCTTCTGTGTTGAGCCAAAGGGTGTGAACAGCAGCTCCCTAGCGTGGTCACAGGTTCCTGCAGGAGGTGGAGGCCCTCCACAGGTTCCCTGAGGACCAGCCTCTCCTTACTCGCCGCTTACCCAGGGGAAGCTGGATCATCTTCGTAGACTTCCACCCAGGCCAGGTATCTAGCGGACTGACGCAGGAGACAGAAGAAGCCACACTCCTTGGTGAAGGCAGACATCACAGAAATCAGCAAAATGTAAACCCAGAGAGGATCCATGGTAGAGCACGTGTTCAGTCCGCACGAGGCCTTGGGTTCCATCCCCAGCTCCACCATATGCACGTGAAAATGTGAAACAAGTGAAAAACAAGGTCACTCTTCTCGCTGTATTTTTAGAGCTAATTTTCTTTTTTCTCTGTTTTCTTTTTGGTACTGGGGATGGAACCCAGGGTGATTAATCACTGAGCCACATCCCCAGGCCTTTTTTATATTTTGTTTAGAGACGGGGTCTCACTGAGTTGCTTAGGGCCTCACTAAGTTGCCGAGGCTGACTTTGAACCCACGATCTTTCTGCCTCAGCCTCCAGAGCTGCTGGGATTACAGGTGTGTGCCACTGCACCCGTCTTAGAGCCAGTTCTTTTCATTAAACCTGTCATTTTATGTTAATATGTAATAGGTCGCCTATTGATATCTTAAAATAATTAATAAAACTATTCAAAAATTTCTTAGTCTTAGATTCTGATATGCTAAGTATTGATAGCTTTAATCCACATGAGTAAAAGCTCTTTGAGATTGTCGATAATTTTTAAGAGAAGAAGGAAGGGATCCTGAGACCAAAAAACCCTGGCAAGTTTATTAGGCAAGCCTAAGGCCATTGGAGAATTTGGAGTGGAGACAACATAGAATCATATTGTCTGGCAGAGAACTTGGAAACTGGAATTTATTTTTCTGGATTATTCCTCCTTCATTTTCCCTCCCTCAGGCTGTACCTAATGTAGACAGACATCAGAACTCTTCTCATAGACCTGGAGCCAAATAATGGGCACAAGTTCTGGACTGAAGTCTGGGGCTTGTCCAGCATAGTTCAGCTGTTTGGCTAGGGAAGGTTCCCTGGCTCCTCTCCTGGGAGGCTGGGGGACTAGTTGTGGAAATTTCATGAGATCTACCTATTGCCTTGCTATTGTTATTACTCATCCTTCAAAATAAAGACAAAAACAAAAGGAACATGAGAATATAGAAGAGAAAAAGGAAAAGCAGGAGTGAGCACAGATTGGGGGTAGGGGTGCTGAGTGTCCCCAGTGGCTGTCCCCAGCACTGGGGGTGGTCACACCAGGACCTAAATCCCATTTCCTTTCCCACACCCTGCCTTTCCAGAAGCAGCAGATCTCCAGCCCCTGAGGAGCTCCCATGTGTCAGGAYTGGCTCCCCCTCCACAGGCTGGCCCCATGTGCAGGGTCTGCCCCATCAGTCTAGCAACCCCCTGCCTGGGCCCATCTCTCAGAAGCTGTGGACTCCTGGAGCTGGCCTACCRGGCTCTGCTTCCAAAGCTTCTTCCCTTTCAGCAAGGTGTTATACAAAGGTCTTCCTTGTTTCTCCTTCTCAGCCAGCCTCACCTGCCTGTGCTGGTCCCTCTGATTGGCCCTATCCAGATCCAGCCCTGCCTACCCTGTCCCTTTGGTTTATGCCCACAGAGGAACGAACAGTCCTTTTAACCCTCTTCCATAACGTGTGTTAAGACCACAGTCTTGCACAGTGTTATTATCTAACGTTGTCTACGCTTTCTTATGAACAATGCATATAAAAAATGATAGTCGTATTTAACAACAGGTAAAAATCATGTTTACTTGAGTGTGGAGCTTTTATCTAAGTTATAGTTAGACCCACATTGCATGATGGCTAAAACTCCATTATTGAAGAGTGTTTTTTAGGCAAAGAAACTGAGACCCAGAGAGGTCAGGTGACTTATGTCGTCATTCAGCTGGTTTCCAGAAGTTCCAAGACTGGAGTCAAAGTTTCCTAATCCCTCCTACATCTCTATTCCTCTTTACTACCCATCTGTGTTAGTTTCCTGGGGCTACCAGAGAAAACTGGCACATGTTTGCTGGTTTACAACAAGAGAAATTCATTCTCTCCCAGTTCTAAGAGTCAGAAGTCCACAATCAGGGTGKCATTTGGGCTGTGTTCCTTCCAAARGCTCCAGGGTTCCTTCAGTCTCCTGGTTTCTGGCGGCTCCAGGCATTTCTTGGCCTGKGCCTGCCCAACTCCAATCTCCACCTCTGTCTTTACACAGTCTTCTGGTACCTCTTACAAGGACGCTTGTCACTGGATTTAGGTCCCACTGAGTAATCCAGGGTCACCTCACCTTGAGATCCTTGATGTAACTACATCTGCAAAGACATTTTCCCAAATAAGGTCTCACCCACAGATTGTGRTGGTCAGGATGTGGACTTGTATTTGGGGAGGGCACAATTCAACCTGCTRCACCCTCCAAGGTGGCACTCCCATCCAGGGACTGAAAAAGAGTAGTTCAAACCAGTCACTGACCTCAAACTAATCCATCTGGAAGCCAAAACCCACAGGAAGCCAACAAGACAAGATATTGTGCACCCATATTTCTGAACATCCTTAAATCAGAACACCAGGTTATTCCAAACCTGCCCCGTCTCTAGTCACCATCTCTGCACCAGTGCTGTCTCAAAGGAGCAGGGACTCTTGGGCACAGAACCGGAAGGATTTACTGAGCTATCAGAGTGCAGGCTGTCTCTTTTGTCAGTACCTCTGAAGTGGAGGCATTTATCTTTCGGCACAGAGAGAGGGTCCTGGCCATCTTTGGTGCCGCAAGCTTAAATGTATGCAAAACTAATCCTATGATAACAGGGCTGAGTTCTAATGGGTCTTGGGTCTTGTTAGAACTCCTTTTCTGACACCCGGTGGAGGGTGAGCAGTTCCCTCCCTGTCCAGACAGCCATGGGGGCTGAGAAGAAAGCCAGCTCCATGAGGTGCCTGGCCCCTCCGCTCTGCCCTTCCAGCCTTCTTCCCGTCCCCCTCTGCACTCCCGTCCAACATGGGCATGGGGACCTAGACAGTGCAGTGGGAGGYGGGTTCAGGACAGGGACAGAGACCTCCACTCTAGCTCTTTCTTTCYCCTCCTTGAACCCTGCTCACTCACCCTTCCTCCTACCCCCTGCTTCCCTCTCCCCTGGCCCTCTCAGGGATTGGGGCCTCAGTAAATTTGGCTGAGACTAGTTAGCACCTGGCCCTAACTTCCCCAGTAACTGAGCCCTCTGCCCTGGCCCAGGTCCTGGCCATCCTGATGGATGTGTTCACGGATGTGGAGATCTTCTGTGACATTCTAGAGGCAGCCAACAAGCGTGGCGTGTTCGTCTGTGTGCTCTTGGACCAGGGAGGTGTGAAGCTCTTCCAGGAGATGTGTGACAAGATCCAGATCTCTGACAGTCACCTCAAGGTAGGGGTCCCCACGAGAGTCCTAAGGGAACTTTGTATCAGTGAGGATCTAATGGGCTTTGCCTTGGTAATAACACTCCCCCTTCAATGACTCAGCACAATAAGTCCTGTGTGGATCTTGTATGGATCAGATGGCCTCCCCCTATCCAGTCTATGCCATAAGGAACACATGGCTTCCAAAACAGCAGGGACAGAGGGAAAAAATATGACAGGAGGATTCTGCAGGGTGTTCTTAGGATCTGACCTAGAAGAGATTTCCATCACTTGCACTCGTAACCCATTGCCCCTGCCTGGATGCCTGGGCCTGGAGTGAGCGGGAGCTGTGCCTGGTGAGCGTCCCTCTCCATGTATCCCCCCCTCCTCCCAGCTGGGGAGCCCAGTGGATGTGCCTCCCAGGGCAGGGCAACCTCAGCACCTGCAGACACACGTGCAGAACTCCTGGGCCCAACAGGAAATTAAGGCTCTTGGACTTCACTGAGCCTCCCATTTCCGTCTCTGGCAGGAGGGAAAGAAACCCAGAGACAAGARTTAATTGGCCTCGCAAACTTGAGGGCAGTGAGTTCAAGATCATAGGGAAAAGCACCCGCATTTTTCATGAGTAGCTCGGCTGGACAGAGGACGGGTGGTCCTCGGGACTCCTTTGGTGACTCCCTCAGCTCAGGCAGGTTGGCCTCTGGGAGAGCCTCTCAGACCAGGATGAAGGCTCCTCCCTCCCTCCCTCCTGCCCACGCTGATGGTGCCACAGGCCCCAGCAGTCGGCGGTGCTGCCTGACATGACCTGGTCGTCCCTCCTTTGCGGAGGCCACGGAATCAGGTCAAGGGAGTCAGGCCCAGCCTTGCTTCCGTGGTGCACACTGGCCACACCTGACCGTTGTCTGCTCACCACAGGACAGTGGGATGTGTCCCCCTCCCACCATCTCACAGAGAGCCTGGGTGTGCCCCTCAGAGCCAGCCTGGTGACATTGGTGGCATCTGGCAGTGTTTCACCTCCCCAGCCTTAACCCTGAGACAGAGACCCAGGCTTCACCTGCTTTTTCGTTTCTTTCAGGCYTCTGAGGGGTTCCACCTAGGGCCAGGCAGCAGGGGCTGCGGGGGAGGCCAAGGACAAGTAGGGCCAGGATTTGGGTAGAGGTCACACCCTCTCTGGACCATACAGGATCCACTGGGCTTCACAAAACCACTCCCTTAGACTGCTCTGGGCTGAACCTCTGCCCAGCTTGTGGTCAAGAACACATGTCACCCAACCAGTTAGGAGGCTTGCCCCTAAATAAGTGACAGACTTGTGGCCTGTGGAGAGCTAGGCGAGGACTCCACAGGCGTCAGGCCCTTGTCTGTTTTTTTATCCGCTGTCTTGTTTGAATTTTGCCCTCTCCCCCCATCCCTTTTTTATTTCCAGCTAATGCCAGGACAAAGAGGAAAACAGAAAGTCTAGCCAAGCAAAAAGAAAAAATGGCCCTAATCCCACCTGAGAGCACATGTTTACATCTTGGTGACCATCCTTCCAGACTTTTCCCTATTCAGACTGTCTTAGTCTGTTCATGCTGCTAWAACAGAATACCATGGAGTGGATGTCTTATAAACAGCGGAAAATTTATTTCTCACAGTTCTGGAAACAGGAAAGTCCAASAGGAAGGTGCCAGCAGGTCAGCGTTCAGTGAGAGACCAAAGCCTTGTTCATAAAGGGCTTCTCACTCTGTCGGTACCTGGCAGAAGGAGGAAGGAGCTCTCTGGGATCTCTTTTGTAAGGACACCAATTCTCTTGGTTAGGGCTCCACCCTCATGACCTAATCACTTCCCAACGGCTCCACCTCCTGACACCATCGCACTGGGCATTAGGTTTCTACACAGAATTAGGGGGGACACATTCAACCTACAGGTCAGTCTATATCTGCAAATGTGCAATTCGTAAGTGGCACATTGATATTTCCTTCCAACAGAACATTGCCATCCGGAGTGTGGAAGGAGAGGTGTACTGTGCCAAATCAGGCAGGAAATTTGCTGGCCAAATCCAGGAGAAATTCMTCATCTCAGACTGGAGAGTCGTCCTGTCTGGATCCTACAGGTGAGCACTGGGTTCCCTCTTGGTGAGGCTTTGGGACTTTGCGGTGCCAAGGGCCAGGTGAGGTGCAGACCAGCATCTAGYTGCTCACACACACCAGCAGCAACCAGGGTGTCTTATCACATAGATGGGATGGGAGACACAAAATATGTATCCATTCAGGGCAGAAAAGCCTTGCCAGGTGCCTCAGTTTCCCCTGATATTGCAACAGGATATAGATTGCTCTTTTTCCCTTCTCAGATCTCTTCAGTGTGTCTACAATGTGCTTTTATTGTGCGTGCCCATGCTCTGTTTCATCTTTAAATTTTTATTACTTTAATACATTAAATTTTTATTACTTTAATACTTTAAGATTTATTAATTCACACACCAAGCAGTTCACCTGCTTAAATATACAATTCAGTTTTTAATATGCACAGTGTTGTGCAACCACCCCAAATTAGAATATTATCCTCACTCCAAAAGGATCCACTCTGCCCATTCACAGCCACTCCCATGGCCCCAGCACAGAGGGTCCCTAGGTAAACACCAATCTACTTCCTGTTTCTATAGGTTTTCCTGATTTGGACATTTCATATGAATAGAATCATATAATATGTGGTCTTCTTTCACTCAACACAATGTTTTCAAGATTCACACCACTGGGGAGACACACCACATTTTATTCATCCATTCATCAACTGATAGACATTTTTACTAAGTCCACTCTTGGGAACAATTCTGCTAAGAACACTCATATAAAATGTTTTTAACTTATGTTTTTTTTTTGCTACATTAAAAAAATTTTTTTAGTTATACATGGACACAATATCTTTATTTTGTTTATTTATTTTTTTAATGTGGTGCTGAGGATCGAACCCAGTGACTCACATGTGTGAGGCAAGCACTCCACCAATGAGCCACAACCCCAGCCCTTTTGGCCACATTTTTTAATTGGTGCATATAGTTGTAGAGAATATGGGATTTGTTGTTACATATTYGTACAATGTACACAATACAAAATATAACAATATAATTTGGCCTCTATCACTCCCCAGCACTTTTACCCTCTATCCCCTGMTCCTATTCCCTTCAACTTAGGTTTTTAACTCTCTTCATTCAGTATGTGCCTCCTTGGGATTGCTGGGCAATGGAGTGATTCTGTATTTAACTTCTCAGGGAACTGACAGCTTTTTATCCCAAAGTGGCTGTATCATTTGCATTTCTCCCAGCAATRTCTGAGAGTTCCAATTTCTGTGATCCTAGGCAACGCTTGTTGTTGGTTGTTACAGCCATTCTGGCGGTGTGAAGTGATATCTTTTTGTGGGCTTGGTTTGCATCTCTGAGGCTAAAGATGCTGAAGTCTTGTGCTCTTGGCCCTTGGCACATCTCTGGAGAAATGTTTGTCTTTACCACTTACATCAAGACCCTGCATCCAAATGTCTGACCATCCACATGCTGCCTTGCTTGGGTCCCTCTTTTGAGACTTGCCTTGAGATCCTAAAGTACATTCTGCTAAATGTCCTTGGTGGGCCCTGGAGATTTGATAGTAGGTTTCAGGGAGGGAGGCAATGAGGGTGCAGTCATGGAAGGGAGGAACAGCTGAGGCCATTTGTGAGCACTGAGTTAAGAAGGTCAGGAGTGTGGCAGAGAGCGCAGTGGGGATCTCCCTTATTCCCCTGTGAGCCCAGCAGCGACTGATAAAATAAAAGCAGGAAGACAACACCGGGAAAAGACAGAATCAGAGTAGGCTTGCAGCACAGCAGGCCCGAGTGGATAGGGGATCAGGAGATCTGCAKCATGCCCTCCTTCCCCAGAGCAAGAGCACGATACACCATCCAACAGCCACAGGGAGGCAACTGCAGAATCCCCAGCCAGGGATGGAGGAGCATAAAGGGAGGGAGGAAAAGGAAACAAAGGCTTACATCTGAAGTGCACCATCTTTCTTCAGGTTATTAATGCCTTTGAGCTTAAATCCTACTTTCTGTGATATTAATATTTCCGCCTTTGGTTTTCTATTGACCTGGATTTGTACAGTGTCTTCATCCATTTGGGCAGCTATAACAAAATACCATCACTGGATGGCTTATGAACAACAGATATTGATTTCACACARTTCTGAAGGTCTACGGCCTGGTTCATAGGCCCATGCCTTCTCACTGTCTTTATGGTGAAAGCATGTCTTTGCCCCTTTATGGCAAAAGGGATAAGGGAGCTCYCTGGGGTCTCCTTTATAAGGCACTAATCCCATTCACGAGGCCTCCACCCTTATAACTAATGACCTTCCAAAGGCTCACCTCCTAATACCACCTCATTGGGGATTAGGGTTTTCAACATATGAATTTKGGGAGACATAAAACTGAATTCATAGCACAAAATATATATTTTTCCTTATCATTTTCATTAGTCAGCTTTGTGTTACTTCAACAAAATACCTGCTACCTGAGGCAAGTAACTTTATAAAGAGAAAAGTTTTATTTAGCTCACRGTTTGGGAGGTTTATTCTAAGATCAGGCAACTTCATTTGTTTGACTTCCGRTGAGGGCAGCACACCATGGCAGGAGTGTGTAGAAGCAAGTGGTCACATCTCAAATCAGAGCAGAGAGGGGACAGCAGGGTCCCTACATATCTTTTGAGGACATGCCTAAAGACTGAGGACCTCTCCCTAGGCCCCAGCTCCCAAGAACACCACCCTGGGACCAAGCCCTTAWTAATATGGAACTCCGGGGGACACACCCATATTCAAATCATGGCACTATTATTTTCCCACACTTTCTGTTAGATTTTGGCAATTGTCCCTGATCCCAGAAGCCAAACTGGAGTGAGGAGTCTGTGTGGAGAAATTATCTCTCACTTTAGTATCACTTTAGTATTCATATAACATAAATATAACCACTTCAAAAAACACAATTCAATGGCATTTAGTACATTCAAAACATCGGACAACCATCATCTAGTTTTGAAATATTTTCATCACCCCCAAAAGAAACCCCATGCCCATTAAACAGTCATTTCCTTACCCTCCACTCCCCAATGTGCATTTGCCATGTGTTTACCTTTCTAGGTGTTTCACATAAATACAATCATACGGTACATGGCATTTTGTGAATGGCTCCTTCCACTTAACGTGATGTTTTCAAGGTTCACTCAAGTTGAGCAAATCGCAGTACTTAATTCCTTTTTATTATTGAACAATCTTCCATTGTATACCACAATTTGTTCATCTATTCATCCACTTATAGACATTGGGGTCATTTCCACCCTTGGGTGATTGTGAACGGTGACTAAGAATTCTTGCAGAGACTGAGGCCCCACTTCTAGTCACTTTCTCCTCTGGAACTCAGGTTTTGCCTCAGCAGAGGGAAAGGAGGAGATGAGCCAATGTCTGGAAGAGCTGAGAGTGACTGGAACTTGGGAAAGAAAGCAAAGCAGGTGCCATCTGAGCTCCCTCCCTGCAGCAGCTCCTAAACAGTTCACTTTAAAATGGTCTGTTTCCAATAGATCAAAGTTTGGATACATTAAAAAAAAAAAAAAGATTTCCCCCGGAAACTCTTATTTATAAGACCACACCCCAAAGTTAAAGATGAGACTGTTACTTTTGAGCAATTGCACGCCTCCAGAAACTACCATCTACATTCTGCATTCTGTGAACTGGAGAGGCCTGGGAACGCTGCTGCTGAGAGACTACTAATGCAAAGGGCTGAAAAGAAAATGCAGAGAAGCAAGTGCCTGTTATCTGTGTGCAGAGTGAAAACCAGTGAGGGAGCTCAGCGGGTGGAGAGATTTTGAACCCAAGGATCATTTCAGGGAGATCAGATCCGGGCCTGGGTGGGGGTTGTTCCTTCTGATAAACCTGCCTTAGGCACCTCGGGGAGACAAAAGCTCTGTTCATCTTCAAGTTGTCAGAATGGGAAACTTTTCACCCTCCCAAAGTTGGTAACTGTTTTCACTTCTGAACAAAGCCAAACAGAGTATCATAGACTACGTTTTCCCCTAGGAGAATAACCATTTGAATTTGTTAGTTCATAACTGCTCTCTGCTTTTATCTCTCTGGGCTGTTTTCCTCATCAGAACAAAACGGGGAACACTATATAAGATTGTTGTGAGAATTAACTAAAATAGCAAGTGCAAATATTTAGCTACCTGACACACGAGATACACTCCAAAAATGTTTATGTAAGCCAGGTGCAGTGCACACCTTTAATCCCAGTTAGCTACTCAGGAAGCTGAAGTGGAGGGTCCCAAGTTCAAGGCCAGCCTCAGTAATTTAGCAAGACCCTCTCTCAAAATAAAATTTAAAAATCCAAAGAGACAAGGAGAAGTGGTCAAGGAAGAGGGCACGTGTGCTGTGAGGTCAGCATGAGTAAGCATGTGCTCTGGGGCGGGCCAGAGGGGGCCGCCCTTCTTCCCRCAGGCTGACAGTATTGCTTAGAGTTGGGCCTTGAAGGATGAGGAACTTCTCATGGAGTGAGGGGAAGGGAGGCAAAATCAGGCATCAGGAACGGCAAGAGAAACAGCATGACACTGGCATGGACTTCCAATTGGCCCCTGCCCTGACCCCAATGCCACCCATGGGTTTTTCTTTCCCAGGGACAGAAAGATCCAGATCAAATCATTCCCATCTTTAAAATCTTTCAACTCTTGCCACTGTTCTTAGAAAACAAATTATAAACCCCATCCTTACCAGGCCTCCCTCTCGGCAGCCTGTCTCCTGTCCACACCGGCTCCTCCTAAGGTCCTCACGCTCCTTGGTACCCCCAGACCTTGGCTCTTGCTGCTCAGGGCCCCTGCTGAGGCTCATTTCTGCCACTTTTGCTCTGCTAAACCCTCGTCYTTAGGACACTGAGCTGGCAGCTTGCAGATGAGTGCCTCAGAGACCTTCTCTGATCACCCCATCCAGAGTCCTGTGGCCCTCACCGGCTTCAGACTCGTGGCAATTTGTAATCATTTGTGTGCAGGCTTGTTTGGCCAAAATTGTAAACACTATGAGTTCAGAGAGGGGCTGCTCTGTTTCCTCCTCCGCTGTGTTCCTGGCACGAGTGCAGTAAATACTGTGCCTGGCACGTTGCATGTGCCCATAAATCTTTGTTGAATGAATGAGTGAATAAAAGCAGGTTGGGTTCCTGCCACCCCGTGTGGCTTAAGGAATGAAGTCTTCCAAACTGTGTCACCGTCCATTAGTGGGGTGTGAAATCAACTTAGTGGACGATGTCCAGAATTTTGTGAACATGAAATAGAGTAGAATCAAAATAAACGGCGACACAGAGGAAAGTCTGTGGCTGGACCTGGAGTGAGGAGCACTTTCCAGTGGAAGCTGGGGAGGCACGGCGGTCACGCTGGACCCGCAGTGGCTCTGAGGTGACGCAGAGGAAGCTTCTGGGTGTGAGCGGGCTGTGGTGGCACAAGATAGGGAGTCCCCCCAAACATCAGGAATGTGAAAAGGCCGTGGTCCTCTGCCCTGGCTGCGACTGACCTCCCCCATGTCTCCTCTCCTCCAAACTCTCAGAGGTTTGGGTTTTTTTTTCCCTTCTTGTCACATTTTATACTTTTCCAACCAACACAAAAACAAAAAGACTGACAATACCGAGTGTTGGATTTCCGGGATCTTAGACACATTGCTCATAGGATGGCAAGTAGGGACAATGACTTTGGAGAGTCTGGCATTTTCTCCCAAAGCTGAATCTTCGCCCTTTATGATCCACTCCTAGATCCACACCTGAGGGAAACGTGGCCACACTCATGGTGGAAGGCTCGTGTGAGAATGTTCACAGCGGCCCTGCTACAACAGAAATAACCCAAGTGCTGTGTGTGGCAACAAGCCACAATATGAACACACCTTAGCAAGGTTAAGTGGAAAAATATCCCCAAAGATTWGATGCATGTTAAAAAGAACTAAAGTAAAAATACTCACTTTCAAGAGTATATTATAGCCGGGATTGTGTGATGGCATGTCTGTAATCTCAGCAACCCCGGAGGCTGAGGCTGAAGAATCTCAAGTTCAAAGCCAGCTTCAGCAACTCAGTGAGGCCCTAAGCAACTTAACAAGATCCTGTATCTAAATAAAAACCAAAAAGGACTGGGGGTATTGCTCAGTGGTTAGCACCCTGGATTCAACCTCCAGTTTAGAAAAAAAAAAGTGTATATTATACATCGCTTTTAATTATGGAAAAAGAAAAGTCAGGGAGTTATGATCAGAGGGTTCATGGTGCTGATTTATTTTATTTTACACTATTTCTTTTTGCAGAGCTGAGGATTAAACCCAAGACCTCACACATGCTAGGCAAGTGCTCTACCACTGAGCTACACYCCCAGCCCAAAGCTGATATTTTAAAGTTTAGGATCCTAGGAATGGATCGCAGGGACACCCATGTGGCAGGGTGCGCGTCATAGTCAAGAGGCTAGCTTTTATTTAGGTGGGGGTTCATAGGCACTGATGACATTATTTTAAAAACCTAATAAAATTGATAAATGAATAAAACATGGGCCTTGAAAAGGCCAATGAAGAGGATGAGTCACGAGCCAAAGATCATGACTCAGTGAATGCTATGTACAATAAAAATCAAGCATATTTCTCCCCATGGATTGTGGAAAGAAAGAAAGAAAGAAAGAAAGGGAAAGAAGGAAGAAAGAAAGAGGGTAAAAGCTAAAGCATGTGATAAACAGATGTGCTGAGCAAATATGGGCATGCAGGGAATGAATGGGACACACAGAGGTAGCCGGGGTATCAAGATAAGCACAAGGGAAATGGGAGCCACATGCATGCAGAGACACAGGGGCCTAAGAAGTTGCCGGATGCTTTGGACCTGCTTTTTTAGCAGAGCCACCAGCCCTGTGGCCTGACCTGGCCTGGTGGTGAACAGCAAGGTGTAATTGGTTGGTTTCTCGTATGGCCCAGACCCCCGAGGTCTGCCCTGTTCCCTACCACCTGCCTGGCTCCTGGCTCAGCATCAGCACCCAGCTCTCTGGGGCTGTGGGTGGCTCCTGAGCAGGGGAGAACAGTTTAATCAAAACCTCATTCTTGTTCCCAGGATTATCCTGGTCACATTTGGGCCCACACTATYTGACAGAGCAGGGATTCTAGGGCTGGGGCCAGGCCTTTGGGTACAAGACAGGCAGACTAGGGCTGGAAGCTGAAGGCCCTATCCTTAGTTGCCCTTTTCTCTTTAGCTCTGGCACTGTCCCCTCTAGTTACCCAAGTCCTCTCTGTCCTTCCCTTGGCACTCCCCACCTGGACCTGGTCTCTCTGAGTCCGGACCCAGCAACCCTGTTGATCCTCCGGGCAGAGCTGTCGGGATTTTTAAGGATTTGGGTAGGGGTGAGCTGAGAGAAGTTTTTCATCAGAGATAGAAAAGAATTTGCTTAAAACAGAAAAATCACAAAACACAATACCTAAGTCCTCTAAATGGAGGGCCAGGGCGAGACTTTGAGGGCATCTTCCCATGGTGTTTAGATGACTTTCTTGCATAAACCCAAGCTGTCTGCATTTGCTTCCTGTGGCTGTGCCCTGTGCTCCCTGTCCCGTCTCTCAGATCCTGACTTGAAAACGGGGCTGGATCCTTTTCACAAGCACTTCAGATTATCGCAAAAACACAGCTGGCCATTCCAGGAGCAGCCACCTTCTAGCAGTCATTCTCTGCAGACCCCTGAGTGGTGGCAAGAGGCAGATGTCCCCCCTCACAGGTGAAGAGACTGAGGCCTCAGCTGCTGAGTGACTCCTCTGAGCACAGAGTGGGGGCAGCTGGGACTCAGCTGCCACTCAGCTCCTTTCTGCCTCCCCAGGGAGTATGTAAGGGCCCTGATCTGAGCACCAGGTGGGAGCCTTACAGCTGGGGACTCGATTGCCCTCAGAATTGCTCATCTGCAAACATGTCCTGGTCTGAGCCTCCATGTCTGCCTCTGTTAAGGGGGAAAACGACAGCTAGTCGGGGTTCAGATAAAAAGGTTTCCGCCAGGATGAAATGAGCCTGCTCAGGAGTTGGGGGCCTTATGTGCACCCCTCCCTTCCTGCCCTGAGAGGTCCCTGGTTCACAGACATGTCCTGCCTCTCGCGCCTACTTCCTCACCCCCTCTCTCCTCTTGTCCTTCAGCTTCTCCTGGCTCTGTGGACACGTCCACCGGAACATCCTCTCCAAGTTCACGGGCCAGGCAGTAGAGCTGTTTGATGAGGAGTTCCGCCACCTCTACGCCTCCTCCAAGCCCCTGATGGGCCTGAAGTCCCCCAGGCTGACCACACTCCTGCAACCCAGAGAGGGTCCCAGCATCCCCAACGGCCGTCTGAGTGGCAGCAGCTGCTCCGCCAGTGACCGCACATCCTCCAACCTCTTCAGCAGCCCGTCGACAGGCAGCAACCCCCACAACCAGAGTGTGTCCATGTCCTCGGGGCCTGGCAGTCCCCTGGTCCCAAACCCTCCCCCACCCCCCAGGTTTCAGCCTTACCACGGGCCTTGGGGAGCCCCGTCTCCACAGGCCCTCTTCTCCCCCAGGCCTCACGATGGCCCTCCCACCCCCTACAACAACCTCAATGCCTACAGGCCCACTAGGCTGCAGCTTGAGCAGCTTGGCCTAGTCCCCAGAGTGACCCACATCTGGAGACCCTTTTTACAGGCCTCACCTCATTTCTGAAGGGCTCTGCTGTGCTCCCAGGGCCAGGTCAGGGCACTTCTGAATTTGTTGGTTCATAGACCCCACCTCAACAACCAAGAGTGTTGAGCCTGATTCCTTCAAAGGCACTTGGACAAAATCATCGCCTATGTCAGAATGTTCCCAGGCCTAAAACCATCTGCTTGSAACCCCCACCAGCCCCTGGGTTGCCCCTCACTGGTCTGGCCTATGCAGTCCTTTCCAGAAGGTTTCAGGAAGGCAGGGGTAGCAGGGAACTAGAGGACAAAATCATGAMAACCGAGCCCCTGTCTTCCGAAATCACCCAGAGCTTCAGTGTTAATGGAGTCCCCAAGTGTCCATGATGTAAAAAAGGGGCAGATGTGGTGTGAGACCTGGGAACTTTAGACTCTACCACACAGAAGTGAAATTGAGTCTTACAAGCACAAAAATTAAGGAAAAGCCTTTATTGGGGCCTCCAATTGGAAAGGGAGACACGGCTCTCACAGGAAGGTCAGGCTGGCTTGCTGGAACAAAAARGGGCCTATTTTTACTGGCTGCTTACAGGGGGGGGGGCTCAGGAATGTGGCCCTGATGAGCTACGTGAATGCACCCCAGCTCTAGTGATGCCCACTGTTGAGGAGGTAACTGAGGCACATGAGCCAAGATCTAGGGGTGCATTTGCCCTTTGTCCTCATCACATACGCAGCTTAAGTTTTACTAGTGGGTAAACTGAGGTACCAACATGTAGATGACTGGTAGGTACTTCTGTTTCCCAGGAACGGTCCACTGCCTGGAGATTTGGATAAGAAAGTCAGGAGAGGATGTGGGAACATTCTAGATGTTTCTGGGAGAGTCAGAGAAACTCCTCTTCCCTAGAAATATTGGGCTACCCTTGGGCCCAGTGAATTAGACAGATGGCATCTATCTTATTTTTTTAAAATTCTATTCCTATCTCATTTTCCTTCTCCCCTCCCCCCGCCCTGAAAGTTAAAAAAATAAAAAGAGACCAAGAAACCTTTGGTTCCTAATGGTATTTCAGCCCCAGCCTGCGGCTGCTATTTCCCAGGCAAGACTGAGATGGGGGTAGAACTACCAGGCCTGGCTGAGCCATCAGCTGAGAAAGCTGAGGGAAGGGGAAGGCTTCTTGGGTGACAGAAGGTCCTGAGCCCAGCTCTCCAAGGCCCRCCCTGCTGGTGCCTGCATGGGTTCAGCCCTGGGGCAGGGAAGACCCAGCTCTATCCTGACTTCTCCCCACCAGCTGTTTTCCCTCTATGGCAAATCTGTCATCTCAGGGCTGTTCACAGATAYGCTATTTCACCTCTCCTGAGTCTTYGGACCATGGCAACAGCCTGCTGGCTGGGAAGGTGGGTGTGCCTCACTTTGGCTAGTGACACTTGAGTGGAGGTGCTGGGATCACCTCTAGGCAGAGGCATGGGGAGCCTGAGTGCAGTGACCCGCATAGAGRGAACCCTCAAGCTGAAGCCCTCTCCCACCAGCCTTGGTGCCTAATAGGCCACAATCAGTAGACACTACCATGGCCACCCAACCACCCACCCAGATATGTAGTAGGAACAAGAAATAAGCCTGTGTCATTTAAGCCACTGAGAAATGGGTGTTTCTTTTTTGCACCATGACCCAGTTTTGCTGACTCTAAGGGCCACTGCCCTGAGGCAGAGACATCCTTTGGGATGCCTTGGGCTYATTTCCTAAGACCCATTTCTACCAGAGGACCAGGAGCGGTTTTCCACATCTGCAATGGAGTGGCAGGAAACCAGAACGAGAACTTAACCAAACATCAAATCCTACAAACCTGGTCTCTTTCCATCTCTAACTCTACTCAAGGTTATAATTKCCCCTGGACCTCCTTGGCAGGGGCCCTTGCTGGAGGCCGTCCTTAGACACATCATCTTCTACCATGTGAAATCGACAATGGCATCTGAGCACCAGCTCATGTCAACTCTGGGCGACACATCTCCCTGTCCTAAGAACATGATGTTAGCTGGGAAGGACCTACACATGAACACCATCAGAAAGAACAGGAGAAAATGGAAGGTGGTTGTGTCCTGAGGGAAGGGTGCTTCACTCACGGCAAAGGCGTCCCCCATACCAGGGCTGGGGACCACAGAACCTCCTTCCAGGATAATGGGCCAGCACCAACTGAAAGTGTTGGCTGCTCCCAGACTGAGCCCCTCTCCAGGGCACTGTGCACTCGTTGGTCCTCCTAGGATGATGGCTGTGTTTCTCCCCATCCCCACTGTAAGTCCCCAGGGGCCAACAGTCTGCTGTGGCCCCAGAAGGCCAGACATGGGGCAGGGCTGGCCCAAGCGCACAGTCGAGGCTCCCAGATGGAGCTTTGCTCTGACAGCCCGGGACCACCTTGACAGGGCAGGRAGGGGCCCCATCTTTACTTGGGTTTCCTGCTGACCAGCTGTGAAAGTGCCAGAGAAGCTTCTTTGAATACTTCCTTTTCTGGACTCGATTCAAGAAACTGTTGGACACGGAGAAACTGCCACTCACTTTCTCAGCTTCCTTCTGAAGAGTGTCTGTGTGTCAGGAAAACTGCTACCAGGAATGTAAATATAGCAGACACACACGGACAGCCTCCTTTTTGTGGCCGCTCAGTGTATTCTGAGACAGACTGTTGTTTCTCAGAGTGCCCATCCTTCCTTCCTCAGCAGGGGTGGTGAAGGAGGATGTGCTAATGAGGAGGCARTGTGCCCAGAGGGGACCGCCACAGCACGATGCACACCCAGGGCAAAGGCACTTGCAAGAGTGTGTGCCAAGACCGCCTTCCTCCGCGCTGCTCCCAAGACAGGCCAGGGTGCCCCTTGCAGAGACACCTCCCAGGCTGGGAGCCCTGGCTTGAGAGCAGATTTCTAKAACCTTCCCCTGAAAGGGGAGTTAATGAAGAAGACCAAGCTCTTGGAACCCCACCCTCTCAGTCCCACCTAAAAACACAAGCAAGGCCTCTCCCTTGACTTTCCAGGACCAAAGAGGAAAAGGCAAGGCAAGCCCTGGAGGCATGGGATCTGCTGCAGACCAAGGAAAGAGGGCAGCCAGGGAAGAGTGAAGGAGCCCCCAGTCTCCTCAGGGGACAGGGTCTCCTGGAGCTGCTGGAACCCAGACACCACAGACAAGGCGGCTTGAACAACAGGATTTTCTTTTTCCTCTTAGTTCTGGAGGCTGAAGTCTAAGATCAAGGTCCTGGCAGGGTACGTTCCTCGGATGCCTCTCCTTGGCTTGCAGGTGGCCCCCTTCCTGCTGCCTCTTCACATGCGTGTCCGTGAGTGTCCCCTCTCCTCTTCTTATAAGCCTGTCACTTAAGCCAAATTGGATTAGGAGAATAAGGAGCAGTGTGCAGGTGCCAAGCTGTCAATTGTGTCAATTTGACTGTGCCCAGATATCGGGTCAGACATTATTCAGGGTGTCTCTGGATGACATTGACATTTGGCTCCTAGACTGGGGAAAGCGGATTGCCCTCCCCAACAGAGGTGGGTTCATCCAGTCAGCTGAAAGACTGAATAGAATAAAAAGATCAACTCTGCTGTGGGGAAGAGGGATTCCTCCTGCCTGATGGCTACCAACCCAAAACACTGCTTTTTTCTCTCGCCTTCAGACTTGACCTGAAACATCAGCTCTTCCGGTCCTAAGCCTGTGGCCTTTAGACAAGGACTATGCCAGGAGCTTCCTGGTCTCCAGCTTAGATAGCTTGAGACAGCCTCCATAATCACATGAGCCAATTCCTCCTCATCTATCTATCAACCATTGTCGCATTGCCCGCGACTTAAACACTCAAACCTGCCCTCCCAGGAACGCCACCTGCCGCATTGCACGTGACTAAAACACAYCCGGTCACCCCAGGGGAACTGGGCTGCATGAAATAACCACATAAGAGACAGAGATACTTTTTTCTTTGTGGGTGCTATGATGGCTCCTCTGCCCTTAAGGGTCCACAGAAAGAGAGAGCAAGGGAGCATGTGCTGACCCCTTTTATTGAGAAGCCATTCAAATGAAGCAAGGGGTCAGGTTTCAAGGGGCTAAGTCTAGCTTCATGATGTCTTCTGTCAGCAGGCTGACATCTAGGAAGGCCACACCCAAGGGAGAGTAAGAGAAGGGATACACAAAGGGCATTTTCATGGAACATTCTATCCCAAACAGAGCAAGGGGTAATATCACAAAGGAACAGGTGAGCGTAGCTCGACCCATGGGCTGGCTGTGGGAAGGCACATCCATGCACGGAGACACATTTGTGATTTCTCTACCCTCAAGATCGGGGCTACCGTCTTCGGTTACTTAAGCAACCAGATCACAAGGTGATGACAGTGCCACACCGATCAGGAGGGGAAGCAAACACTGGCCACATGCTATGTCAGCCTCCCACAAACTATCTRTCACCTCAGCTATCTCATTGTTTCTTTTACCCCAGAGAACTCTAATACAGAATCTGGTACTAGGGATTAAAGTCTGTATCTCCTACTAAAGTCACCTTCTGAGGTGATTGATGGGTTTAGTGCTTCACCACATGAATTTGGCAGGCACACAAGTCAGCCCTGTCAGGAGCTCTYCCATAGAGGCTCAGATGCCAGAGGGGCCCTGGATGTCCATCCCAGGCTGCTCCTCCCACCCAGCTTGCCCTACTTCTCCACAACACCTGAGCAGATGCAGATCCCTCCCTCTCCAACCCCATGTGGGGAGAGCTGACCATGGAGTCTTCACRGTCAGCCCTATTTCACCACTAGCAGAGTAGGGGTGACTTCTGGTGGCTGGTCTTCCAGCATGCAGTGGCCCTTGGTTCAAGGCCAGGGCAGCTTCCTGAGGTGCTGGCAGGGCAAGCACTCATTCTGGGAGCCCTCACTGTGAGCACAGTAGGAAGGCACATCAACGAAACCTTTCCTTCCTGAATATTCTAGTCCACACATCCTAGATTGCCAAGAGAAAATGGATGTGGRGCCCTGCAGGTCTGGGCTTAGGGAGGCCGGCCTTGGCTTCTACTCCAAAGGGCCTGCTTATACTTAACCCTC